AAAAAAAAAAAAAAAAAAAAAAAAAAAAAAAAAAAAAAAAAAAAAAAAAAGGAAAGAATAGAAATAACGGTATTTTTTCCCTTAAGCAAACTTAGTTACATCAGCAATGTTCTTCATATATCCTTAATAGCATAAGAAATAATTGCATGTACATAAATTGAACACATCATTTAAATGAATATACTTATTGCATATATGTTAAGTGCACGTACAAAAGATCGTAACGACATAAAACGAGTCTACTTTATAGCTTGTGTGACATTTTCTTCCCCATAGGTTAAATAGTATGCAATTACAAATGTGTTTTGTTTTCTTTCGTTGTTTTTTATGTACACAATCGTGTGTTAATTCATTAGGAATTGTGTTAATAGAATAGCTATTTTTTTTTTCAGTCAAAGATGACATACATAGCTGTTGTTCGCAATTTCGTATTACTCTCCATTATTATTGAATTATTATTACGAAGAAGTAACAATGAGAGAAATAAAAAAAAATTTTTGTAAAATTAAATACGTTTGCCAAGAATCAAAAAATAAACAAATTATAAATTGCAAAAGAAAAAAATTAAAAAAAATATACAAATCATGTCTATAATTACAATGTTACTTTCATGCATCGTAAAGCAACGACATAATAATTCATCAATAGAAAATACGCATTAATATTCATTTCTAATGTACAAGCAAATTGCCAGTAGTTTTATTCTCACTGTGTTATTCCATTGTGAAAAAAGTGTCAATAAAGATATGCAATTGCGGTTATTGCACATAAAACTCTATTTGACTTCGACAACATATCACATTAATTATGATTACAATTTCCATGGAATTATGAAGATGCTCGTCTATTAGATAGGATCGTCAAAGACATAAACCGTGTTTCGTAATTGCCTTCTAATCTACATTACGAAACATTTTGCATAAATCTACAGAGTGTACCGACAATGTTTGTTCGTATTACTTCTGGTAAAAAAGATTTCCGCCAAACAATACGAAATTCTTTAAAAATACTATTTAGTTTTTAAAAATTGAAAATATTATAAAAAATATATGTTAATAAATAATAATAAATCGTATAGTAAATAACAAATAATAAAATATATTAAAAGAAAACATACAGTGAGCATATAATTTTCAAATAATGTCGATTCAAATATGGCCAAGTCTGATTCCAACGATGTCGTACTGACGAAATCGTAATCGAATTCATGGAGAAAGTTGACCGAAATCACGTAAAGCAATTCTCCTTGAGAAAACGAACGTTCGTTTCAGACGTATGACGTTACCGAAATTCACGATCGAACGATCAACGGTGAATCGAATCAAGGAAGTGACCGAATGTAAATCCAGGTAATATTAAACCATCTATGCCATCGATGATATTTAAGACCGGTATTACAAGTTAGGATAACACCTATCGATATGCCTTTCCATTTCTTTTGCTTTGATAACGAGAACATCGAGTAAAAGCATTATTGCTTGACAGAAAAAAGTGAAAGTGTTTCTACTGTGTGTGAAAGATATGATATTGTAAATTCAATCCTTGCTGGGATACGCATGGTATCGAAATAGACAAATTGAAAGTCGAAGAAGATAAAATGGGAAAGTTATGCATGGTTAATTTGCATAACAATAAAAGGTGGAAGTTTTTGTTGTAAGATTGAATTGCAAAGAAAAGAAAGATTTAAAAATCTTGAAATTTATTCAAGATTAGAATATTCAGGATATTCATAAGTAATTGATTATTTCAAAGTTAAATACTATATATAAATAAATTTAAATTTTTTTTATCATTCATCAAATAAACTATATATAATGACCTTTGCCATCTCTTTAGTAAATTTTTGATTTCTCATTTATAAAAATGTGCAGACTACGAAAAATATGATTCAAGGTAAACTTCTCATTGATATTTTTTATTTTTAAGATAAATTTTCTAAACTGAAGTTAATATTTTTTCAAAATCCCAATCCTCGATATCACAAATATACACATACATATATTTATTTTTTTTTATTTACTTTTGCAATAATCGAAAATGAAACAAAATGAAATTACATAAGTACTTACGTATTCTCCTCAAGATTGGTAATCCATTACGAATAATAATATTTGATAATATTAGAAAATAATCAAAATGTTTTATATAAGATGTATTATATTTATATTTTTAAAAAGTTATTTTTATGATATTTTTTTATAGATTTTATACTACAAAATTATTAACTATTATAAAAAATTTATTTCATAGTGAAAAGTACAATAAATTTGTTTGGAATGCATAGTCAAAAGAGAAAGTTACTAGAAACTAAGAATATTAAAATAACAGAAATAAATTTGTTTTTAATTAAAAAAACTTTTAAATTTATAATCAATTTAATTAACTTGAACTTAATTAATCTTTTATAATATATTAACGAATTTCTAATACATACCAAATATATTTATTTTGAATAAAAAATAAATAAAATAACTATGTATATAGTCTTTAAGACTTCGCGTATTTTTCGATTCAAAATATTAATTTAATATAGGGAAATATATAAGACAGTACATGTGACTTACCTGACTTTGACCAACTCGATATAAAGCTGGATCGACATCGATAGTAAGCATCATATCTTCCACAGCACGACGTTCATCAGCTACAGGACTACCTGGTCGCGTATTTACATCGCTTGACAATAAACTGAATCGTCTTCTGAATTCGCCTAATGCTATATGTTTAGGAAATCCGACTTTATGTAATCGAACTGCATCAATTATTTGACTTCCACGGATCTATAACAAAAATAAAATTTTCTTTTAATATTGATATTAAAAATTGATATATTATATTTAAATTTATGATAATTTAAATATTGTATCAAATTGAAACCATCTTATTAATTTCTATTTTATGAATTGTTCAAAATTATAAATATATTAAACATAACTCTGATGTAAAATAATTAGATATATTTATGAAATAAAAATTATATTTTTACCTGCGATCGAAGAAGAGGAACATTAATAACACTATCCTCGCTTTGATTAGATTTTACTGACAATAGACTCTTATTATCAGTACAGCCAGCATTGTGTTGTGGTAATATACAGTGAATGAATTTAACTCGTGTTCTTCGTAAGGTTTCAATCAGACCATCCTTTAACAAATTAATTTTTAAATATTTTAAATATATTTCAAATATAAAATTATGATTAATTTTAATAATTTTTAATAATTTAAATAATAAAAAAAGAACTCATCTATTGTATCTTGCTTTTCTTATTCGTAATGATATAAAAACAATGATACAACATTTTCAACTGTATATATATCTCGTTCATAAAACGAAAACCAATATAATTTCAGTTACTCGTAAAATTATGTAAATTAAGTCATTGTTTGAAGATAACATAATATATAATAGCATATGACATAATTATCTTTTATACGAATAGGAGTACATATATAAAAATCTGAATATTTTTAGATAAATATGTACTTACAAAACACAAGCATTTATAGAATATTTATTTATGATTATTAAACAGTAATAGTGTTATGATATTAATACTTACAACAGTAAATTTGACTTGAAGACAGATATTTTTTCTTTTTACGGCAGTGAATGTTCGTCGTATACTAGATGCTCTTCTTAATGATTGTGATCCCTCTAAACCAGGCATGGAACTACATAAAGTTCCAGAAACTCCAGCTCCACGTGCACTAACAAACAGCATACTAACATCTTCCCTGTTAAAAATGAAATATAAAATTAATTATTAAAACATAAAACAAATAATATTTTTTTAGGAATAATATATCAATAATATTTAATTTTTTTAAATTTAAATTAAAACATGATACTTATTAAAAAATTTGACATTTATGTTACCTTGTGCTTTCTTGAAGTATTGTAATGGCACTTTTAGTAACAGGATTTTCTCGTGTTGCTTTCAGCCATCCTGTTGCTGTGTAAAGTACAGGATTAGTACCCAATAAATGTTGTAAGACAAATTGATTATTTCCAGGTGCTTTTCTAAGTAATATTTGATGATCTATCAAAGAAAAAATTAACAAAATAAGTTAAAATTTATCTTAATTTTCAAGATCATATATGATATATAAAAATGTTTAAATACCTCTATCTCCATAATGAGAGAACAGTCGATCTAAAAATGTTTCATCACTACCACCAGGACATACTGTTTCTTCGTCCAATAACCATAGAAGACCTTTTCGTTCCATTTGCCTACTCCCACTAAGGTCACTTTGACTAGTTCGCAACATAGTCGCACCCTGCGAACTTCCACGATCTAATAGCGAAATTAAACCCTGAGGTGATCCAATTCCATCTTCATCGCAATCATCTTCATAATCTACATCAATTCCTTCTTGGACATACCTATATTTGGAAAATATTTAGACGAATCAATATAATAATTTTACATATAATATTTATTATAGAATGTATTTATTACAGAATGCATTACTCATTATATATTTAAATAAAATCATATTATATCCTACAATATCATTTTCAAAACAAATTATAATTATTTCAAAACAAATTTTAATTATAAAGTTTTTATAATATTACTCGCAATTTTTACAATTTGCGGCTTTATATACCTGTCCTTTGGTGCCACCAGTGTCGTATGATGAAACAGCAGTTGCAATCGTTCTTGCAAGTAATTATGACACAAATCTTCGAAACAAGCTCCAGTTTGTTGTCCACAGGAGGCTGGATTTTGAAAACCTGGCGAGTCACAGAGTAACAAAGACGACACTGTGTGTAGAGAGGATGATATGGATCTGTAAACGCATAAACGCGACATCATCATCTTTACTTTTGTTTAGTTGTATCGATATTTAATTAGAAAAAGAACATACCTATTGATGAGAGCAGCTACGCAGTGAAATATTTCAGAATAAAGTCCAATCAAAAGACCTTCCAAGGCATCTAAACCCATGATATCTTTGCTCTGTTCCGTAGGACTCGGTGTACGTAAAGCAGGTCTCGGAGTACTTGGTGTACCAGCACCACCTCCATTGCAAGAAAATACTATTCTACTTAATTCCTCGACAGTAGTGCCTAATAAATTGGCAGCTTTTTCTGCACACTCTACTCTCGCGAACTGCCATCGACTTTGCGAACTAGTGCCAGCCTTAACTGCACCAGCACAACTCAGATGATATATACCGGCAAGGACCAGCCAAATGACTTTTTCATCAGACTCGGACACTCCAAGAATTCTAAAGGCGGCTACGATTCGATTAAACTCGACCATAGCACGCTGCTTATCCTCATGTTTTTGCAGAGGTGTAATGAAAGTATTATTCTCTGCGACTAGATTTGTAAGGTGCAATTCTTTTCTGAGAGCACCCTCTGCGCCTGCCAGCAAACGATAAATCGCATGGAAAGTTGGATCTCCATTTGCTCTTCTGCCTATTCTTGATTTTTCCAAAAGCAACACCTTATTTGAGGAAGAAAAAGACAATTAAAGTGATATATTTTAAATATTTTAGATATAAACTAAAAACTTATCTATACAGATATATATATATAATATAATCTTCGAATAATCATTTTATCAATACTGAATTCTTTCTGACATGAATAGACAGAAAAATGTGGATTAAAACATATATATATTATATTAGAACGATTAATAGTTGGATAATAAAAAATAATAGTAATATAGATATTACCTGTAAGGAAGCTGATGCTATTTGCCCTGATTGATCGAAATCTAAACTAAACAATTGTGTAAATCGCGTTGCATTGGAATTCATATGTGTTCTACTATTTCCAAAAGCCTCCAAGACTGTGAATAGGGCGTTGAGTTTCTCGATAGTTAAAATCTTGAAAAATATAGCATAACTTTCTTAAAATTTGCCACAACTTAAAAAGATTTTATTAGTTTTAATCTTCAAATAATTTGAATTTCAACTTTTTTATAAATTCAAAATTTTTAAACAATTTTTTGAACGTAATATTGGATTTATATTTTTGTTAAAATATATTCCTAGATATTATTTTTTTTTATTGATTTATGATAATAATACATTAACAATATTATTAAATAATGATAGAAAATGTTGACTCACCTTGTTAACTGTACCTGCAGCCAATACAAGATAATGAAGGGCATGTTTAAAATTTGTCGTTTTTCCTGATCCGCTACGACCAAGAAAAACTAAGGAATGATCTCTTCGAGTTGCCAACATCCCTCTATAAGCTGCTTGCGCCATCGCATAAATATGCGGTGGCATATCCTCATTTTTACATCCTCTAAACATATGTGCTACCTGAAGAAAGAAAATTAAGTAATAAAATTAAAAAAAAAAAATTTATTTCGTTAAATATAATTATTAAAAATATTATATAACGAGTCTTATTGTTTCCTTATTTAAAAAGAAAATTAACTTCTTCCTCTTTCTCTTCGTTTTATTAAGGTATTTTAATTATATTTAATTTCTAATTAAATCAAGGCATCTAATTAAGGCAAGAGCTAAATTCATCCCTTAAATTCAATTAAATCATCAATTTTGAAAATGAAAAAAACCAAAGAACCTGTAAATATCACTTGCCTTTTCCGAGTAAATTGCCAATGGCGCCACCGGATTGATAATGATCATGCTATCTCCCGCATAAGTGTGGATTAAATTACTGGCGTAACGTTGCCTCAGTGTGTGGAGAACAGAAGATTCATTGAGAAAACGTAATTGCGAGAGTTCCTCGGCCTTGTCAAACTGAGGGGGATTGGCCTGTAAAAAAAAAAAAAAAGAAAAAAAAAACGATTGGTTTGATTTAACCTACTTGTTAGACCACACCACGTTTCTACGAATCGTAGCAATATATTTTTTTTTCTTTCATTATCGATACTGCCATAAATCAATGAAAAATTAACAACCGAGTTAAGTTAAAATATGAATGATCGATCTAATAATTTCTCATTGACGTTAATTGACTATTAAATGACGATCGTAAAATCGCAAATTAACAAAGAAAATAAATATATCTTAATATAAATTTAAAGAAAACAGCAGAACTTTTCAATATATCTAATATTATATTTAAGAAAATGATGAAAATCGATATTGATTGAATAAATTTAATTTAAAGAACAGAACCTTTTCAACATCTTCTTCATCTACCAAAAGTTCTTCGCCGGAAGTAGTCAAACGAATTCTCAGTTTCCCTGTATCTGGATCTGCCGGACCACATTTTGTCGCAGGGGTGAAACCACCCCGATGTAACAACCAAATTCTCTCAGAACTCATCCATGCTTGTTCTTGTGCAAGATGCTCCTCGGATCGTGCCTATTTATCGATAAAAAGAAAAAGAAGAAAAATAGAATAATGAAAAGAATTAAGATTTTAACCTAAATTGATTTTCTAATAATTGATGATTTTCTTCTAATCGAACGTGATTTATTTTATGAATGAGAAATAGGAAGATCATGATCATTTATGAATGAAATAGAACTTGTATAACAAAATACATATATCTTTGAACATTATAATATAACATACATATTCTTAATGTTTTGAAAATTTATAATAAAATCATTTGGATTAAATGTTTGATAAAAATCTATAATTTTTTGTATAACTTCATAAAAATATAAATATGATTTTGACACGAAAAAAAATGTTACTAATGTTGCTTCTAGATGTAATCTATTTATAATCGATAATCTACATATGGATTACTTATTTTATATGGAAAAATATTACTGAAAATATTTCAAACATTTTACGATTACCTTAAAATTCCTTTTCCTCTCTTCAAGTGTCTTTTAATTAAAAATAAAACAAGAAATTTATATTTCAAAGTGAATAAAAGTCTTTTATCTTACAAATAAGAGGAAAAATAATTCAGAGAACCAATTATTTTTGAATGATTGTATAAAAAAACGTTCTAGGGAGCAATTAATTGTGTTATTGTTACTTAGCATTACCACACGCTGCGTTACATTCATTTTCGATGACCAGGCAGAAGCTTGTTATGAATTCACCAGAGATGTATAAATCTGATTTGATTTCATCTAATGTGCATGTATAGGGTGTTCCTTGAGAAGCGAATGCAAATATTTCCTCAACTATATATACATTATTCCTTTTTAAATATATATATATATGTAGCACTTACTTCATTTTGAATGCACAATTTGATAGAGATATAAGAACATATAAAGATCAACTTCATCTTTTTTTAATGAAACTATGTTGTTTATAAGTAATTGAAATTTGCATTAAATGGAATAGAGTGATATCTTGCTTCATTAAAAAGTTTCAATTACTTATGTAATTTAATAAATAACTTAATCAATTTTTATATTTGTTTTGGCCTTCAGAATCGACTTTCTAAAACTCCATTAATATCCACTAATATATTAACACCCTGTATGTCTTTTAATACATAAATCAATGCAGTGAAGTACGTATGTGTTTGCTCATTCGATCAATAGTCTCGATTAAAACACAGTAATCGTATTTTAAAATTTATAACGAATGATATAATTCATTAGAAAAACGTGTATTATTTTTCAAGTTTTGTTAATGATCCTTCTATAATCGTATTTTTAAAATTTTTCGTTTTTTTTTAGTTCGTAATGAAGATAAATTTTACTAATGAACTGGCAATAACTTATAAAAATAATTTATAGTATTCTTAATCACTAACATAAACCATTTTTAACGATAATATTTTTAAAGAAAATACGAAATTTAAATTATCAACATCCTTCAAAATGACGGCATTATTAATACCGGTTTTGCACGTCTAATACACTATCGTTTGCATGCTATCTTTGCTTGCCTGACCTTAATCAAATAGAATACTTTTAAAATTCAAGGTTTATAAAAGTCCGATATAGACACTAATTCTAATGGACGAGATGAATTTCAATTTTATAAATGTTAAATGGATACTATCAATATCACGACATTTACCTCTTTATCTATATGACATATACCTAATCTCATGCTTTTAAAAATATTATAAAACAAAAATTTGTTCATCCATAATTAGATATTTGCAAATTACATTACAATTAACGTATATCACTATTACATATCAGTAAAAACATTGCATCATTTTATATAAAAATTCATATTTATTAAAAAGAATAAAAATAATTAATATAACGAATGAAAATTTATTTTCTAATTTCTTGTATCCTCTTGAACGACAAAAAGCTTATTAATTCTGCTAAAAAGGAATCTATTAAATGCAAAAATTGCATTAAAATTAATCATTAATCGATTTCTCGTAAATTTCGAAATTCTAATCGAAATTAATTTTCTCATGATACGGAAGACATAAGCGTTCTTGTTTCGATAACAGTTCCCTTAATTTCGTGAATCACGCGGTGAGTCGCAACTGCAAATATACATATAGTACACATATCGATTTCCTTGTGTCGTGTCAGCCGTTTTGCTAGAAAGCATACTAACTCGCTCTATTCTACCATGTAAGACTTCCTAGTAATAAATTACCATGAATCAGGCCCCAGGCTCCACGGGTACAGTGTATACAACGGTCGCATTGTTTCGTGAAACAAACAGAACACGGTGTGCCTTCAAACACGGAGAGTTCCTAAATAGGAAAATTACACGATTACGAATGTGCTGCCCTTTTAACTACGTTTCGTACGGCAACAACCGACCTCTATTTCTAAACGATTTGCTCAATTATACCTTGTCGGTAATTATGCTATGTATACGTATAGAGAAGAGCGTTTATTATAATTAACGTTGTGTAACTTTGTAAGTTATAGATGTTTACATGTACACGTTTATTATTAGAGATGCGCGAAAGTTGAAAATATCCGGATTCTCTTTAATTAAACATTATTTCATTTGGATTAAATTTTACATGTTCAAAATTTGTATACCTTATCCGCACGATGCAACATAGCTTTTCAATTTGAAAATATAAGATATTTAAAGCAACGTGACAACATTAAAGAAACAAACAGTACAAATTTGCATAGAGATTAACATTTATAAGATGAAATACAATTCGAACTATCGTAAAAACGGTACCTAATTAAACGCCTTGGGAACACGACACCGCAAATAAAACGATCAATTCATCAATCATGAATAGCCGTATTCATCGACTCTACGAATCCCTTATCGCTATCGTCGAAACCTTAATTTCCACATATGGCTCACCCAACTTCGTACGTTATACATCTACAAATAAAGGCTAACGAACTCTCGTTTCCAGAGGCGTGTCGATAATGACATACCTCACCCGTTTGCGGCGGTAGTCTATTCTGCAGAAGCACCTCGAGGCGTTTCATGCACAACCCCGTGTCGTTCACCGGTTCACCCTCCATTCGCCGACGATTCACACCATCATCGACCACGTCCTCGCCGTTCTCGCACTTTCTTTTCCTCTTTCCACGTCCTATCTTCTTAGCCAGGGCCATTTCCACGATCTCCTCCCACTCGATAATATCTTCGATCGGCTTCAATTTCCTCTGAGACGCGGTAGTTTTCCGGTTTCGTTTCTGCGGGCCATTGTTCCAACTTCTCAATGAACCTCCTTTCAGCTCCTGAATTCTAAAATCACCGGTTAACTTGCCACTAGGCACTCTTTGTTCTATCTCCGCCGTAATCCTCCTCCACTTCCGCTCTCTGGGTATCTTGATCACGCTGCTGTCATCCCAACCTTCCTCCATCCTCTTGATCCGATCGTCATCGATCGAACCGACACGTAACGTATCCGCCCAGCTCTCCTTCCTCCTGCTGCTCTTCGCGCCAGTTTTCGACAGGCACGGGGACACATATTGGTTTCGATTAGTCTTCTTCTTCGCGCTCGTGCTACTGTGTACTCGAGCAGGGGTGCAAATCGAGATATTCCCGGACGAGTGTAGGCTGTCGCTATCGCTGCATTCCCAAGAACTGGTGCCATTCCTGGTTATTCTTCTATTGGATTTAGTCTCGTCCAAAGTGATAGAATCTCGGTCTTTCGAGTATCTGGTGGCGGGAAAAGAGATGGTTGCGCGACGATTGTTTTGTTTCACTATTCCATTTCCGTGCGCCTTGCCGCGACATGATCTGTGAAGCAAGTGATGCGCCCTCAGCGACTCCTCATCGTCTTTGTTCAATGGCATTTCGTTGAAAAAACAAAACTTTCGAAGATTCTTTCTCTTTTGTTTTTACGTTTTTTCCTCTCGCTTTCGCGATAATTATCTTTCCTTCCTCGTGATATAGAAATCATCTATGCTCCAAGATCGAGATTCACGCGCATTTTTCTTATTCAAACGAAGTTTCATCTGCAAATGCCTTAAGAATTCTGCTTGGTATCTCGCTTGAAAAAAATGTATCTTAAGCTAGTTTCTATTACGATAAAAGTAGAAATGCGATTGTGTCTTGTGGGAAGAAGAATCGTTCGCCGATCACCTGATACTGTTGGCGCACGTTTTTATTCCCTTCATCCTCATATTTGTTCATTCTTTGAAGAATATTCAAATGATGTCACTTATATTTTGATACTTTTATATATTTTAATCATCTTCTGTAGGGATAAATTGATGTCTTTGATTGATGACAAGCAAATTTTACGCTTTTCAACAAATCCTAAATTCACTAACCATATTAACACTAAAGAAACGAAATTATCGACATTACACACGTGATAAACTTTCTTATAAACTTATCATACAATACGTTTTATATGTACAAATGTCAAGGAATTATAGGACGAAACTTCGAAAAGAGATCAAAATAACTCACGATAAAGTTTCGAAAAATATTGTAAATCGTCTTGTTTCTTGTTTGGACAATCGAGAAACCGAGAAACAAGATAGGGCTCCATTACAAGAAGCACCTCGAGCTTACCGAGCCTCGACTGAGGCAAGAGGCAGCAGTAGTACCGAAGACCGAAGCAGATCAAAAAGAAACGATGGAGGCAGGCGTGCTCCCACGACTGAGACGCTCTTTCTCAGCACTGTCGTGTCTTTCTCTCGCTTCTGCCACCATCACCGCCGCTTGATCCCTTCTTCCTTCTATTCTCCATCTTCGTCGTTGGTTATTCAACTCTTTCACTTGGCGAGTGTCCTCGTCATTTTCGCTCGCGAACGTAATTTTACCGATTACGATCCAATCGATTTGTTTCTGTAGTAAATACGGAAACAAAACGAACAATCAAAGGTGATAAGTGCTTTGTATGTTTATACAAGATGTTAACACTTTGATTTACAGGTATATTTCTTCTTAAACAAACGTTTACGATGATTTTTTTATCGCATCGATATTGAAATATTTGCGTGTAAATAAACATTAATAATTTCTAATAGAATTTTTTTTAAAATGTAGAATATTTGTTATATTATTCTGAATTACATATGCATTATAATTGATAACTTTATAATTATAATTATAATAATTATAATGTTATAATAATTTAATAACAATTACAATGCTTGATTATACACAATAATAGTAATAATAGTAAAAATAGAACAATATAATTGATATTAATAGATTAAATATGTACAATGTTATAAAAATATACAATGTTTTTTCTTCTTTACTATAATTCATTGAGCAAGAAAAACAAGAAATGCTAAAATCGTTGTAAAGCCAGAAACTTTCGATTCATCTTTAAACACTATCCTTTCCATTCGAAGAGAACAATTCGCACGCGCCTGTTTTGCTGATAATTTGCATAAACACAGTTTTCACAGACACAACGTAGAAAGAAAAGAAAATCCATAAATATGGAGGATATATTTTTGTCTATAATCTTTTCGATCGCCTTGTCCTCTTTCTCTACAAA